CTGGGAACTGCCTGCTTATGCCGGGGTCTTTCATCAAAAGACAACAGTGTCTCCCATTTCTAGCCCTATCATTTCTTACCTAGACATCAGGCCAGTGAGGGAAAGAGGGGCCAAATATATCAACCTTCCATTCTTTTCCTCCTCCCTTCTCTTAGCACCTGTGTCCAATACCCTTCTCTCAGCTGCTGTCAAACAAAAGGCTATGATGATCAATCACTAATTAGAAGTAGGTACCTAGCGAGGGAAGCCTCAGATACACCCCTGATGCTCCACTCCAGCCCCGTCAGCTCATCCTCTAACATTTAGCACAGTAATAATGTCCCTTTCTTACAAGTAAGATAAAATAATGATTGAGGTCAACCAAATGCATAGAGAAGTCACAGAAAACTCCACAACTAGTACCATAAAGAAAACTAAGTTCCGCAGTATTTCAGACTTATGCTTTTTTGGTTGTTTATAACAACCTTATCTTCAGTCACTGCAGCAGGCCACTTTCTTTGCCACGAGGAGCCCATGTTGTGGCCTCCCTGGAGACCAGCACTTGTATGATTTCAGTACATGGTAGGTAGAGGTTTAGTAATTAAGTACAGTACATAATTCCAGCAAAGCAAGGGCAAATGGGGGGCTTGGTGACTCATTAGGTGAGATGACAAATGGCCAGTCTTGTCCATCAACATTGCTGTAATTAGGACATGTTATCAGAACTGCTGCTGGGACAGAGTCTTGTGCACGTCCATATTTGGCTTATCAACTCAGAACATGAGTTTTAGTTACTTTTAATAGAAGGGAATTAGTTGAAAACATACCATTTCCCAGCAAGAATTAGGTATTTTATTATTTAGCAATATCCCGAAGTGGTAATAGCTTAAATATTTACCAGGGACTTTTGGGAAGCTCCCATCTTTCACTAAAGACTTTGTATTGAGCCTATTCCGGGAATATGGGTCAGAGTCCTCACTCATCAGGTTATTCCAGGGTCAACCAAACCCCTGAGTTAGCTACATCCCCTGCTCATTCCTCCCCTTACATTTGGCACAGGAAAGACATGGACTCTTCCTATTTGGCTCTCTCTAGACACTATGGTGAACACTTGCATGGAGGAATCTGAGATCCCTGGTTGAAAGGATCTCCCTACCCTTCCTGAGAAAAGGGTATTGGACACAGGTGCTAACTTAGGGGGAGGAGGGAAAGAATGGAAGGTAGATATATTTGGCCCATTTCCCTCACTGACCTGATGTCTAGGATGCCTACCACACAGCTTTACAATAAATTATCTGTGGAAACCACTCCCTTAAGAACTGGAGCAGGCCAGGCACGGTGGCTCAGGCCTGTAATCCTAGCATTGTGGGAGGCTGAGGCAAGTGGATTGTCTCAGTTCAGGAGTTCGAGACTAGCTTGAGCAAGAGTGAGACCCTATCTTTACTAAAAATCGAAAAAGACAATTGTTTGAGCACAAGAGCTTAAGGTTGCTGTGAGTTTTGATGCCATGGTACTCTACTCAGGGTGCCAGAGTGAGACTCTGTCTCAAAAAAAACCCAAGATTTTGAGCAGAGTGGAGCCATTTCAAAGCATGGGATGTAATAGTAACAGATTCCCCTCACAGGATTATGCACCGGATCAATGGAATAAATTAATTTTGCATAAATGATAGAGCACTTCACAAACGCCAAGATTATCCTGAGAAAATCAATACCTTCTCCCTTAGTATTTGCTTTTATGTGAGAAATTTGGAAGCATCCTGGCTGTTAAAATTCAGTTTTTAGCCTAGATATATTTGATGCCTAAATGAAACCCTCTTTGTAAGATAATAGGGCTGCCACAAGAAGTTGAACTTCTGGCACACTGATATGAAATGGCTACTATTGAAAAGACTATAGTTGTCCCTCAGTACCTACAGGGTATTCATTCCAAGACGCCTTGTGGGTACCAAAACCAGTGGATGCTCCAGGCTCATTTACAAAATGGATATTTGCATATCACCTGCGCACATCCTCCCATATACTTTAAATCATCTCTAGATTACTTATAATACCTAATATAATACAAATGCTATGGAAATAGTTGCCATATATATATATTTTTTTGAGACAGTCTCCATTATGTTGCCCTCAGTAGAGTGCTGTAGCATCATAGCTCACAGCAACCTCCAACTCTTGGGCTTAAGTGATTCTCTTGCCTCAGCCTCCCGAGTAGCTAGAACACAACCCCAGGCTATTTTCTTGTTGCAGTTGTTATTTCGCAAGCCCGGGCTGGATTCAAACCCGCCAGCTCTAGTGTACATAGCTGGTGCCCTAAGTCACTGAGCTATAGGTACCGAGCCTATTTCTATTATTTTTTATTGTCACAATATTTTTATTTCTTTTTCCTAATACTTTCCACCTAAGGTAGGTTGACTCCATAGTTGTGAAACCCACAGATAGGAGGGCTGCCTATATCAGGAGTAGGTCTGTTCCCACTTTGCAGAGACACTTCAGTAAGCACCTCCCTCTGCTCACTCAACAGTAGTTCCCACTACACTGAAATGAAGGTTCTTCCCTTGTACACAGGAGCTAAGGTTAACCTCTCGCAAGACCTGGCAGATAAAAGCACAGGGAAATAGCACACAGGCTTGGCGAGTCAGGCACACTGCAGAGTTCCTGGATCAGTTGGACAGTCTGTGCACCGTGCTGTCATCAGCAGTTTTCTCCCGCTCAGCCATGGCTTACTTTCAGTTTCCCTGGAAGCTGCTTTTGTTTGCAATTTATTTCTCTACATTCCATCTCACTGTGTGTCAGAAAGAGACCAAATAGACTGGGGGCCCATAGTTCAGTGGTTATTGTGCTGGCCACATGCTCTGGGACTAGTGGGTTTGAACCTGGCCTGGGCCTGCTAAATAAAGAAAAAAAATAGCTGAGCCTTGTGGTGGGTACCTGTAGTCCCAGCTACTAGGGAGGCTGAGGTAAGAGAATCCCTTGAGCCCAAGAATTTAGCTGTGAGCTATGACACCATGGCAGTCTACTAAGGGTGATAAAGTGAGACTCTTGTCTCAAAAAAAAAAAAAAAAAGGAAAGAGACCAGATATTTCCATTAAGGGAACAGGTAAGGCAGTAATGCTGGAACGTTCCATAATAGTGTACACCAATAGATGCCCCTCCCCCACAAGTTTGCCTTATTCCCTAGGAAAGTTACATTTAACACCAAGACCTCTATATCCAGGCAAGGTCTGCTTTCAGATTCTCTGCCTTGTAGTTGCAGGGCTTCTTGATATGAATGAGAACCTTGAACTCTTACTGGGCAAGTGTCTAAGAATGTCTTAGTGCTAAGAACATCAGCTCCTTGGCAACTGAGATCTGTCGTTCTGTGGAAAGTCTTACCTGTTGGACTCCTTCAGACTCCCAGGAAGGGGACTGTATGTGGGTCTAAGAGAGGAGAATAAGGTGTTGAAATAGATGATAACAAACTCATCTCATCCTATTTCATACATTTCCACTTTCTCTTCATGTTGTGACAATCCAGAATGTATTATTACTAACATTTGCTCACCTTAGACTGGTGTATTTTAAAAGTTGACATTAATGTTAACTCAAACCAAGGACCAAATATTAGAATAAACTGATGGTGACACACAAGTTCTGCCATTCCAGTTTATTGAAATGAGTAAATTTGTAGCTTTATTTGCATACAGAAAAGTGCACAAGAAGTAAGTATGTACAAAATGGTTGTGTGGCTGATCCTGACTTTTAAAAATTCAACTACCTAGAAATAGTTACCTCCAGTTTAGCACATTAAAATATTTGGACATTTAAAGTACTATTTCAAGTCTGTGTTTATGACTGAGCAAGAAGACTGAT